AATAAGTGTATGCAAAAAATTGAGAGTAAAATGCATGAGTTAAAACAAGAAACAAATTCAGTAAATTCACAACAAAGTAGATCATCAAAGCACTCCCATTCAACAAAGAGATCTATGCATAATGTTACACAGAATGAAAGAATACAAGCAGAATTAGCTAAGCTACAAATTGAGCTTCAGCTTCATAAAAAGGAAACAGAGTATAAGATGTTCGTGATAAATCAACAGAGGATCATGAAAGAAAAAGAATATGAGTACAAAAAGTTTCTTTTTATGAGAAATAGGTTTCCATCTCAAAAAGAAGTAGAGAAAGCCAGTCTAGAAGAAAATCAGCTAGAATTGTCTCAAAGTAAAGATCTAGATGATAGTAAAGAACTTCATCTTCACAAATATTTTGAATCTATTGATAAATTGACAGAGGTTGAAAAAGTAAATCCTACTTTACCAAAACAAGAAATAGCTGCTAATGATGTATCAGGTATGGGTGAATTAGAGATAGAGGTGTCTAAATTAGAGAATACCTTCTTAAAAGCAAGTCCAGAGCTTAAGCTACAAACAAAGAGTTTTGAGCCAAAAAGAGAGTTTCAAGATTTGAATGCATCATTTGGGCAAGGTAGATCAAGTCAACCTATAGACCTTAATGTACTCAAAGATGTATTAAATATTTTATCATCTAAAAGTAAAAGTGAATTGCCTAAACTAGAACCAGAAATTTTCAGTGGAGATTTATTGGAGTTTCCAACCTGGCTTCAAACCTTTGAGATTTTTATAGAATCAAGAGTTACAGAACCTGCAGAGAAACTTTTCTATCTAGGTCACTATACAAGTGGGGAAGCTAAGGCTGCCATTAAAGGACTTCTTCGTATCCCCAAAGAAGAAGCTTATCTTGAGGCTAAAAGTATATTAATGGATAGGTTTGGAAATAAGTTTATTGTGGCAAATGCTTTTAGAAGTAAATTAAATGAATGGCCAAAGATTTCAAATAAGGATGGTCATGCACTACAGGAATTGTCAGACTTCTTAAAGAATTGCTTAACAGTAATGAGAACAACAGACTACCTTAATATTTTAAATGATCCTCAAGAAAATGGTAAAATGTTACAGAAGTTATACCCAGCTCTTATAGATAGATGGAATTCTGTAGTTTACAAATGGTCCTCAAGTGATGCAGGTTACCCTCCATTTTCAGTTTTTTGTGAATTTATAGAAGTGGAGGCAAAGAAAGCTCGCCATCCAATCTCATCACAAAATGCAGTAATGACAAGGAATCAGAGTCATAATATCAATGTTTCAATGAGTAGTAAGAAGGGTAAACCAGAATTAAACAAGTCTGGGACAAAAAGGTTTGTGACTAACTCAACAGGTGTAAAAGAAACAAAGGTACATAGAGATGACAGGGGACAAAGTCCAGACAAACCATATTGTAATTTTTGCAAGGCTGATCATGAACTTGATAAATGTAAAGGGTTTAATGGACTTGATAATAAGGCAAAATTTGAATATGTCCAAAAATCATTTCTTTGTAGGGGTTGTTTAAAACATGGCCATATTGTTAAAAACTGCAAAAGAAAGAATATGTTCAATTGCTTCAGTGCAGGAAGAAGTGGCCTTCAGTTACCAAAAATGTTAAAGTAAATGATATTGTCATTGTAAAGGAACAAAATTTACCAAGGAACTCTTGGAAACTTGGTTGTGTATCTGAGGTTATACCAAGCAAAGATGGTCTTGTAAGAAAGGCAAGGATAACAATGGCTGATTCCTCACTTGACGCTTTTGGAAGACGAACGAAAGCAGTCGTTAACCTTGAAAGACCAATCCACAAACTCATATTGTTAGTTGAATCATAGTGGAAGTGGGGTGTCCCCGCCAAAGAGCCTATTCAAATATCAAAATTGTATTGTTCCTCAGTAGTATAGATATTGATTCCACATTTTGCTCATATAAGTACAATGTAATTAGAGTTTAAGGTAAATTGTTCATACAATTTAGGGGAGCCATGTTACTGCAGGGACAAAATGTATACTTAGTTATAAACAATCAGTTCCTATGCTTTGTGATATTACTAACATTAGGTTAAGTATGAAATAGATGAGTATACCCTCATATCGTTTTCTAAGGTGTACGACATCTATAGGGCATTTGCATAACTAATCATCATAAACATTGGGAGCCATTTTGTTACTCAGAGAAGCCAAGTGAGGTGTCTGAGGTAATATATCTGCTTATATCTTTGTAATCTTGTGATATATTTTTATATTAGTATAAGTAAATGATCTATTGTTATATAAAGACCTAATTGAAGGAGAATGTAATATGAATATTGAGCTATATTGTGTGAAATAAGAGTTTTATGTCAAGCATGTATTAGTGGAAGATTTGTTCATTTCAGTTTAACGGAGATAATTGGGAAATAATTGGACTAGAAATGGATGGTAATGAATTGCATGTAAAAAGAAGAATTCAAGATGTATCGAAGATGCAATAAAGTACCACAAAAAGA